TCTGGGCACTAAAGGGAAATCTCAGTTAAGAATATCGGATACTGTGGTGGCTAGAGCAAATAGAGCCCTTAATAGTTAAGGAGAGAATATCTGGGAACTAGTCAACTTGCTTTTCATTCCAGCAACTACAGGATCTTCATTAATAGCTTGTCAAGTATCAGAGGGGTAGCCATGTTAGTCTGAATCTGTAAAAAACAACAGAAGGTCTTGTGGCACCTTTAAGACTAACAGAAGTTAGTCTTAAAGGTGCCACAGGACCCTCTTTTGTTTATTAATAGCTTGTGTATTGTAGTTCATTTTGGAAGTTTTACAGCTTTAACGAACAGGTTTGACACTTACTTAATTCTCATCCCCAACCTCTAGCTTGCTCCCCGGCCTGCCACAGAGGGTGAGTGAGCGGGGTTAACAAACACGGTGGGGGTGGCAAGGGGCAGCCTGTAGAATCACTATAGGCCCCAGCCAGAGGCAGACCACTGCACCAGGCCTGGGATCAGCAGGAGCCAGGGGTCTGAGGCCAGAAGGGCCCCACTGGAGAACTGAAAGAAGGCTGAAGCACACAGCACCAACAGAATGCGGGGCCCTATGGGGGAGGCAGCACAGGAGTCCCTGCAGGCCACAGGGCCCTGGGAGGGGCAGTCTCGTCCTCCTCCTCTCCAGCAGCCCCATTCCCAGAGCCTCTTGCAGCACACAGATACAGGGATACCTTGAACATCTGGGTGCCAGCGATGGGGAGACAGAGCGCGAGGTCTCCGCAGGGGCACGCACAGCAGCTTGAACCCAGCCACAGGAGCACGAGAAGGAGAAGAGGGCAGCAGCGGGAAAGGCGTGCGCCACGACCCCTCAACAGCTGCCTCCAGCTGAGTGCTCATGAGTCGTGCTAGGTAACCCTGACCTGACCAATGGGAGCTGCATGCGCAGGCGAGGGCTGGAGGCAGCATGCAGAGCCCCCCGGCCACCCCTCCACCTAGGAGCTGGACATGCCTGCCATTTCCCGGGAACCATGTGGAGCCGGGCAAGGAGCCTGCCAGCCCGCCAACCAGACTTAACAGTGGTCAGCAGTGCTGACCAGAGCCACCAATGTCTCTTTTCGACCCATGGGTTTTCACCCCATTCCAACCAGGAAACCACGTCAGGTTTGGAAATCCTGCTCAGGGGAAAGAGAACAAGCGAGATCCAGTGAATTTGTGGAATATTTCTCACAAAGCATGTTCCATGATTTTAAACCTGAGCCCGTTTTAAAGCAGTAAAATCCTAAAAACACACGTATCAGTATGTCTTCGTCAGTAACAGTTTCTTTCCAAAATACAGACAAATTCCTGTAGTTCAAAAGGTGTATGTATGGGGTGGAGGTGGGGGAATCTGAGAGGATATTATGTAAACGTTTGACAATTAGTGGGAAAGGGGGCAAGTTATGAGATTTTTTTTTTAATCAAACTTTGACAATCAGATGGAAAATGGCAAAATCTAAGAAGATTTGATATTAATAGTCAATAACTAGAGAAAAAAGTGAGGGGATTTTGTACCATTATTCAATAACTAGGGAGAAAAGAGGTGACTAAAGGGGAATTTAGATCACTATTCAGAATCCGAAGGGATATTAAATAAATAATAGTTAAGATAGTAAGAAAATCGCAGACTGCGACTTTGTTGCTGAAACCACAACTTTTAGCACACACAACACATCTGAGTGATGTTGCAACCTCGTGCACCAGGCTGTAACACCCACCCACTCAGATTTGTCCCACAGCCTGGGAGTGGCTCTTGAGAAAGTGCCATCTCCACACCTGATGCGCTCTACCCGACCTGTCCATGGCTCCACTGTTATATCATTGTTGATAAATGCAAAGTAATGCACATTGGAAAACATGATTCCAACTATACATATACAATGGTGGGGTCTAAATTAGCTGTTACCACTGAAGAAAGATCTTGGAGTCATTGTGGGTCATTCTCTGAAAACATCCACTCAATGTACAGTAGGAGTCAAAAAAGTGAACAGAATGTTGGGAATTAGTAAGAAAGGGGTAGATAATAAGACAGAAAATATCATATTGCCTCTATATAAATCCATGGTATGCCCACATCTTGAATACTGCATGCAGATATGGTCACCCCATCTCAAAAATGATATATTGGAATTTTAAAACGTTCAGAAATGGGAAACAAAAATGATTAGGGGTATGGAACAGCTTCTATATGAGGAGAGCTTAATAAGACTGGGATTTTTCAGCTTGGAAAAGAGATGACTAAGAGGGGATATGATAGAGGTCTATAAAATCATGACTGGGGTGGAGAAAGTAAATAAGGAAGTGTTATTTACTCCTTCTCATAACATAAAAAGTAGGGATCGCCAAATGAAATTAATAGGCAGCAGGTTTAAAAACAAACAAAAGGAAGTATTTTTTCACACAACGCACAGTCAACCTGTGGAACTCCTTGCCAGAGGATGTTGTGAAGGCCAAGACTATAACAGGGTTCAAAAAAGAACTAGATAAATTCATGGAGGATAGGTCCATCAATGGCTATTAGTTAAGATGGGCAGGGATGGTGTCCCTAGCCTCTGTTTGCCAGAAGCTGGGAATGGGCGACAGGGGATGGATCACTTGATGATTGCCTGTTCTGTTCATTCCCTCTGGGGCACCTGGCATTGGCCACTGTTGGAAGACAGGATACTGGGCTAGATGGACCTTTGGTCTGAACCAGTCTGATTGTTCTTATGTGCCGGAGGAACGGAGCTGTGGACCATGGTCCTTCTCCTGAAGCTTCAGTGATATTTAGGCCCCCTGAGCCCAGACCACTGAGCACCAGAGACTGAATGGGGGGAAGCTCCCAGCTATGATATTTACTACATATGGGCCAAATCAGTCAATTTTAATGTACATAGAGGGAGGGGGAATTAAGTTATGAGGGGGAAAGTTGATTAGTTGGGGATAATAACTCAGAGCAACACTTTCTCTCCAAAACAAGGGGGAAATTGCTGCAGATTAAAAGGGTAGGAAACCCACCATAATTTGAGATTTTTATATTTTGAGTATTATTAGTGAGAAAATATTTTTTCTCTAAGAATGCATGCTTTATTTATGTATTAATACTTCTTTATTCTGCTGCTACTAAGGTCTGATCTATAATACAGACTTGCATCATATAACTACGTCATTCAGGGGTGTGAAAAATCCACACACCCTGAGTGACATCGTTATACAAACCTAGCCCCTAGAGTAGACAGAGAGTAGAGAGTGTCTCCCATAGACATAGCTACTGCCTCTCCCAAAAGTGGATTAACTATGTGGACAGAAGAGCTCTCTCCCATCAGCGTAGAGCATCTTTACATTAAAGTGCTGCATCGGTGCAGCTGTGCCAATGCAGTGCTTTAAGTGTAAACCTGCTCTAAGATTTTGTAAATTATTTAATGACTATTTAGAAATGGACTGATTGCATTAAAATTCATCCTCTCTAAGAATGTAGGTTAAGACTTTGAACACCTGTTTGCTAGACTTGATTTAGAATTGCACTAAATGTACAGAAACCATATTTTTTCTCTAAAAATGAGGAAAAGGCATAAACGCTACATTTATTTCTTTAATTGTAATGCTTCCAATAAGGATACATTAGGTGGGGAAGGGACTTGAATGAGGCTCCTCTATATCCCAGGTGAGCACTCTGACCACTGGGCTAAATGCTAGGCTTAATGCTTCCTCTTCCTTGCTAAAATGTCATAATCACAGAAGGCCAGAAAAGGGTTTGCAGCTGAGAATCCCAAGAAGTGGGAGTAGTCTCCTTACAGACTTTAGGAACCTCTTTCCAAGAGCAGAGTGAGGCCCTACAGCATTTTTAAAAATAGGACTTAGGCACCTTTGAAAAACTGTACCCTCCAGCCCAGGTCCACAAAGGTATTTCGGCATCCATTGAAATCAGTGGAAAATAGGAGCCTAAATACCTTTGTGGCTCTGGGCCTAAGTGATTTTTCCCAACATCTTACCCAGTCTGAAGCAGAGCACGGAACTGAACATCCCTCTCCCCAATTCCAGGTTAGTGCCCTAACCATAGTGCAGTTTAACCAGAGACTGCAGAGAATTCAGCCACGGGGGCCCGCATAAATCTCCCCCCTCTGCAGACAGGTTTATCTAGGAGACCTCATTCCACCTGGAAGGTGATGGCAAAGTTTCACTTACCTTTGCTCTACGCTGTGCCCCCTGAAATGTGGGGGTGGCCTTTCCCGTCAGATGTGGGGTCCCCCCAGCTCTTTTGGGAGGGAAAGTCTATCCTCTCGGTCAGGGTTTCTGGGCAGAGTTGGGGATCTCTGAACTAGGAGACTGTCTTGTTGGGAAACAGCAGGTATGTCGCTCCCTCGATATCAACCTCTCCCTTGTGCAGCCAGGGCGCTGGAGCCCCAGCAACTGGGGGCTTTTGTAAGGGACACAATGGAGAGAACGGACTGCAGGCAGCAGACTTAACACGGCAGTGAATGCGATTCACTTCCTGCTGAGGGACCTGTTTCCCTGTGACACAGGCTCCACACGTGGTTGGCTTTGCAGGTTTCTCTGGTTAAGGGGCAGCAGAGAGAACTGGATCCTGGCCGAGTCGTGGTTCTGGGCCCTCGGGAGTGGGGGGCGGTAGCTGATGGGTGCAGAAGGGTCCGGTTCTCGCTCAGAGACGTGAGGCTGCTCTAGCTCGGTCTCTGCATGATCTTCCTCCTGGGTCAGACCCTGCTGCTGCCTCCATCGTGAGCTGGGAACTGTGCCCAACCCAGGGGGGACCCTCTGCTGGACCCAGCCCCTGGGGC